GTAGGTCAGAGAGGTTCTGTAGGTCAGTGAGGTTCTGTAGGTCAGAGAGGTTCTGTAGGTCGGTGAGGTTCTGTAGGTCAGTGAGGTTCTGTAGGTCAGAGAGGTTCTGTAGATCAGAGAGGTTCTTTAGGTCAGTGAGGTTCTGTAGGTCAGTGAGGTTCTGTAGGTCAGTGAGGTTCTGTACCATACCATACCATACCAATTTATTTATAGAGCACTTAAAACAGCAACAAGGCCAACCAAAGTGCTGTACAAAAGAACCAAACATGCACAGCAGACAGGAAAAACATAAAATAGAAATACAGATACAAATAGCAGCAGAAGCTAACTAAAATGGCCAACAGAGTAGAGAACAGACCGGACCAAAACAAATCACACCGTGTTAAAGGCAAGAGAATAGAAGTGGGTCTTCAAGCGAGACTTAAAGACTGAGAGTGTGGGAGCCTGCCGGACACTCAGTGGCAACTCATTCCACAGTCGTGGACCTGCAACAGAGAAAGCCCTGTCACCTCTGAGCTTACGACGGGTTTCTGGGACTGAGAGAAGCATATGGTCTGCTGACCTCAGAGAGCGCGGTGGGACATATGGCTGCAGAAGATCAGTGAGATAGGATGGGGCGGAACTGTTCAGTGATTTAAAAACATACATGAGAATTTTGAAATGGATCCGAAGGTGAATGGGTAGCCAGTGCAGGGAGGCCAAAACTGGTGTGATGTGCTCTCTATAGCCTGTACCAGTTAAAAATCGGGCTGCAGCATTTTGGACCAGTTGTAGACGAGCAATGGAGGACTGACTGATTCCAAACAGAAGTGAATTGCAGTAATCAAGCCTAGATGTTATGAAGGCGTGGATCACTGTCTCGAGGTTCTTTTTGGAGAGTATAGGCTTCAGCTTAGACAGCCGTCTCAGCTGAAAAAAACAGGATTTGACCATCATGTTTATGTGACTGTTGAGTTTTAAGGACGGGTCCATTATCACCCCCAGATTAGTCACCTTTTGTTTCTCTAGCGGGGCTAGAGAGAAAAGGTCAATGTCATGGTTCATGAGTGAGCCACTGGGATGGAACAGCATGACTTCAGACTTCTTCTCATTGAAGCTTAAGAAGTTTAAAGCCATCCAGTCCCGGATGTCAGCCAGGCAGTCAAGAAGAGGCTGAATAGAGCGTGTGCCTCTGTGCCTCAGGGGGAAGTAAATTTGGCAATCATCGGCATAGAAATGAAAGGGTATGTCGTGTTTGCGGAAGATAGCACCTAGTGGCAGCAGGTATAAAGAAAAGAGAAGGGGACCGAGGATGGACCCCTGCGGTACCCCCCACTGGAGTGCGGTCGATGCCGAACTAAAATCTTTGATATTGACACAGAAGGTTCTGTCAGAGAGGTAGGACCCAAACCATTTAAGGGCTGACCCTGTGATGCCCACCCACTGCTCCAGTCTAGAAATGAGGATATTGTGGTCGATGGTGTCAAAAGCAGATGTAAGGTCCAATAGGACAAGCAGCACAGAATCACCTGCGTCTGTGGATATGAAAATGTCATTAAAAACCTTCAGTAGAGCAGTTTCAGTGCTACGGAGAGATTTGAAGCCAGATTGGAATAATTCTAGGATAGCGTGATCCCCCAAAAACTGTTTCAACTGAGACTCCACAATTTTTTCCAGTAGTTTAGAGGTGAATGGGAGTCTGGAGACAGGCCGGAAGTTGGACATGACTGAGGGGTCAAGGTTAGGTTTTTTCAGGAGGGGCTGGACAGCAGCATGTTTAAAAGTCTTTGGCACCACACCTGAGGATAAACTGCTATTCAGAATAGCGAGGATAAAAGGACCCAGGGTAGGAAAAACTTCCTTTAGCAGTCGAGGGGGGACCACATCAAAGGGGGAACCAAATGGCTTCATGCTGCACATTACCTGCTCCAGAGAGGACAGAGAGATGGGCTCAAAGTGGTCAAACACAGCCACACACTGAGATGGGATGGACAGATCATGAGCTGGTGGAGAAATGAGTGCCCGGGTGTTTGCCACTTTTTCTAAAAAGAAATGGAGGAAGTTCTCACACAGCTCAGTTGAGGCTTCCAGAGGTGAAGGCTCACTGAGGTGTAGAACTGAGTTCAGGGTGGAGAAAAGAACTCGGGGGTTGTGGGAGTTGGAGACAATTAAATCAGAAAAGAATTTACATTTGGCAGCTTTAACGGTTTTCTGATAGTGACGCCAACTCTCCCAACTCTCCCTTAACATTTGAAAAGACACCTGGAGCCTGTCTTTCCTCCACTTTCGTTCAGCTCTGCACCACTGCTGCCTAACGGGTCGAGTGACGTCATTCAGCCAAGGCTCTGATTTAAGTTTTGTTTTTCTGGTCTTAAGGGGAGCAACACGGTCCAGAACATTTAAACAGGCAGAGTTGAACTGAGAGGTTAGCTCCTCAGTGGTAAGAGACACCGGGAGCTGTTCGATCCTCTCAGAGTTAAAACCTTCATTAAAACGAGCAGCAGTGAAATGGTTAATGGAACGCGTACGTGCAGGAACGCGCGTCTTAGCAGTAG